TACGAGATTGTCGCACTTTGCAACTCATCAGCCGAATCAGCCCGCAAGTCCATCGAGTTCCATAAACTGCCCGCAACCACTGCAGCATATGGCAACGCTGAGGACCTTGCCAAAGACCCCAACGTTGACCTGGTGGTTGTATCCGTCCAGGTTCAGAAGCACTTTCAACTCGCGAAACCGGCCATCCAGCACGGAAAGGATGTGTTTGTTGAATGGCCGCTCGGCGCCAGCATTCAAGAGTCCGAGGAACTCACAAGACTGGCCAAGGAGGCCGGCGTCAAGACCATGGTAGGAGTTCAAGCTCGTGCCAGCAGACTCGTGGTAGCCGTCAAGAGACTTTTGGCAGAGGGCAAGATCGGCAAGGTCATCAGCTCCCACGTCTTGGGTAACGCGTGCCTGCTCCCGGTTGACGTGTGGTGGGAGGGCACCGAGTATTACCAGGATATGAAGAGCGGCGGGAATGAGTTTTACATTCATTTTGGTCATTGTGAGTGCGGTCGCGGCTTGGTTGACACAAGCTGACGTTGTAATCATAGTTCTCGACTCATTCGTCGACGCGCTCGGCGACTTTGACACCCTTCAGTCGACTCTCTCGACCCAGTGGCCTACTATCGCCCTCCTCAACGCCACCGGGGAGGTCGTCAACCCGGCCTACCCCCGAACATCGCCAGACCACATTCTTGTGCAGGGAAAGCTGGAGAGCGGAGCAGTTGCATCCATCAGCTTTCGGCATACAAAGTCGGCCGTTGACAAGACGTGCATCAAGTGGATTATCGCCGGCACCGATGGAGAGATTGAGGTCACGCTGGCTGAGCGGCTGGGCGCTATGGAGTCTCAGTGGCAGGTTGCAAGCCCGAGCTTCAAACTGACGGTCCGAGTTGGCCGTGAAGAAGTCGGAGAATTTGACTTGTCTTCTGTATCTGATGACCTTGTCGCCGAGGGATTAGATGTGGTTGCTTTGAACACGGGCCTATTGTATGAAGCGTTTGCAAAGGGCGACGAAAGCCGGTATGCGTCGTTTGAGACGGCGTTGAAGACGCATCAGTTGCTGGAGAGGATTGTCAAGGCTGCTGGTTGGGATTAGGAGGGTTGCTTTGCTCGCACTTTGAAGGATTCTTGCACTGTGGATCCCTAGTATTTACCTGGTTAGTACGCGTAAAATATCGATAGATCTGCATCAGCCGCATTTTACGACCAGGGGTTCAAGACCGGTCTGACTGGATCAGATTCGAAATGCCCCCCTTTTTGATGACTCGAGCAATTTTACAGCAGGCAGTGATGTTCCCTCGGCTTCGAGAACCGAACTGCGAGGAATTTGATTGGGGCGAAGCCCCTGATGCTGCCTCGTGCAACCTCTGCAATTTCCTGCGCCACCCGTTGGATCGTTACGGCACAACGCAATATAACCACGGCCAATCGCGTTGAAGGGAGCCATAATCCGAACTCCGCTGAGCCAAAACCAACTGCTATTGGCTTCTTTCGCTTTACGGGCCGAATCGCTGAAGGATTCCGAACCTCGTGTTGCCCCGGAATGGACATGTATAAAACATGCCATCTCGCACCTGAGGGTCTGGAGGGATTCTTTTGGTTTAGATTTCGCATCACGCCTGGATTGCCACCAAACACGCAAAATGCTCTGCAAAATCTTTACCCTCGCTCTCCTCACGGCTACGGCCATGGCCAGCCCGCAGGTGGCATCAGAGCCTGTGCCGACAACGCTGGCAACCTCGACGACGTCAACGACAACGACTGCCAGAGCGAGACCCACACGGCCATGTCTCCTCATTGAGGGCGAGAACCCATATGTTCACCCAAATTTCACACGCCCGGCATGCGTTTGTGATTGCATTAGGGAGACGTGTGAATGGTTGACAGTAAGGAACTTATCTTCATACGGATGAGCTAGTATCAGCATCTGACGAAGTCACAGGGCGGCAACCGAGAGGATATCATCAAGTGTGGTACCGCTCCCTGGCCAGGTCCGGAGAACCCGTGGAGCAGTGACCTGATTGTCTATGTTGGCGCTTGCACAGGAGTAAGTGGATCCAGTTGAATTGTATCCTTGGTGAGAAGTTAATTACTAACCAAGTGCGACATGTAGGGGCGTCGCTGCATTGGATAAAGAAGGGGAAGGAGGGCGAGGGCATTTGGTTCGTAATGTTCATGATAATAATATTTTTTTTTATTGTGTTCGATACGCAATTGGTGGTGGGGCTGGGAGAACTTAGGTTCTCCATTAGGTCACAGGATTCGAAACTTTCATGGGGAAAATCCGGAAGAGATCCTTTGACGTTAGAGTGCGAGTCCGTAGCCACCGAGTGAAGCGTCAATCACCTTGCTCTTGGGGCGCTTAACCACATTCGGCATGGCGCGATTGGTGATGTGCTTTCCAGGCGTGTGCGAGTTTTGGCAGTCCTTGCAGGATGGTGGTGGCTGAGTTGCATCGCCTCCGCCAAGGCACATATGAGACGTCGCGGGGATAGATAAGGTCAACTAGCTAACTGGGACCTATTATTTCCCCTTCCCTTGAACTGAGATCCTGCTCTCTGGCTGCGGCGCGCGTTCTTCCGTCCCACTCCCCAAGCTATTTATCAGATGAGCGCCTCCTACACACTTCACAGCCGTGAAACTGGACCCTGCGGCCATGGATCCAGCTCACGGGTCTTACTTGCAGTATCTGGCAAGGATTTCTCATGCAAACCACACCTTTGAGTGGCTTTACAAGTTCTTCAAATATCGACCATCAGAGCCGAACAGCGAAATCCTTGTTCTCGATGTTGAGAACGGCAACATCACGCATCGGCCATCGGATAGGGCCACGCTCATGCGCCAACCAGACGCAGTTCAGATGCGATTAATTCTCTTTCGATATCAAGATATATGGACCTTGGACCGCGTTGCACTTGACGACATATGCTACACCTTTGATCTGGATCCATACATGCTCTGGGTTCACTTTGACCATGAATTCAGTAACCTCGGCGGTCCGTTCCGGATTGGCGACCGCCAAGAACGCAATGGCCCTTTTCCTCCCCAATTCCCCTCCTCACAGTATGTCAACCATGTTTGGAAAATCTATAGCAGGCCCCAATCAATCTTGGCAACCTTCTCAACCCGTCGTGGAACTTCGAAAACCGGTAAGTGCCGAGCCCGAAGATGCCGAAATAGGGGGCTAACCGGACTTGACGCTCAGTAATTTTCATGGTACAAGATCTGGACTTAGATGAACCTCATGAGCCTTACCTGAGGCCTTTCCCTTTTTGGGGAGGCGGCTACAGTGCCCGAAAAGCCCCACAAGGCTGCCGGGAGCCGAGCCTAAGGCAACAAACTTGCAGCGGTGGGTCGGGGTACATTTCACAACACTTTCTAGATGAGATTCACAGCTGGGCCAACACGCGGACTCTCGACGAAGCAGTCAACAATCAAATTGAGTTCATCATTCCCATTACCAGACTTTTTGTGGGAATGATCTCTCAAAGAATCGAAAGGGGGTGGGCCGAGGCGTTGTATGCGTTGGAACCACTAATTGAGCCGTTTTGGGGCAAAGAGCTTTCCGACGAGGAAAGAGTTTACTACCCAGCCCTCATGCAAGCAAGACAGCTCTCCCGAGCTCTTTCGAATCTTAGAAGATTCTCTGCCCCCCGTCTTACCCGTCCATCGCCAATGCTTCAGGGCGCATTCGCAGAGCTCCAAGATGCCATGCAAGAAGCAGAAAGGTTGCGCGACACGATGAAAGATCGACTCGGACGACGCGTCGCGATGCTATCGCTTAGGGAGTCACAGAAGTCGATAACGATTGCCGATAGCCTGCAAACGCTTACGCAACTGGCATTCGTCTTTGTTCCGCTCAATTTTGGTGTCGCAATTTTCGGCGCAAATATTCGCGAGTTCGGCAGCGGTGTGGTCCCGGCGTGGGCTCTGCCCGCAACAGCAGCTGGTGTGTGCTTCCTAACTGTCATGTTTTCATGGCTTTGGGCAAAGAAGAGGAAATACAACATTGTGACGGACTGGCACTATGTCGTCCGACCTGTTTTTCTATTCTCGCTCAGAAGCCCTGCTCTTGCAGCCGTGCTCGTCTCGTACATCCTGACACACGGGGACTCAGCCCCCAAGGTCTTGAACGAGCTCACGATTAGCTACCTAGATTGGAGAGATGAGAACGACTGTGCTCTCACGTGCGACCTGGATTACTTCCCTAGAGCGCCAGAGGGGACATCATGGCAAAAGGCTTTTTGGCCTAACCGCTTGCACAGTATTGGGAAATACACAAGTCAGAAAGGCTGGGGAAAGGATCGTTTTTGGAAGCGGCGAAGCAGAGGACGAGATGTGGTGGACGAAGGCAATGAGCCAAGAGACGGTCTTTCTAGGGACGTGCCAGTGAGTGGGACGGTCTGAGTTGCTGTATGTTCGTGTGCATAAACAGAGAGGTTCTCGCAGTTGCCACAATGAGTTTCCCACGCTTTGTGCAACAACAGGATTTTTACCCAGCAACGGAGCCCCTGCATAAATTCAGTAAGCCTCTATTTGAACGATATTCACATCGTAGGAGGAGGGATCCCTTGTAGATGTCGAGGAAGACACTCAATTTTGGAGATAACTGAACAGTAGGTGTTTCCCCCCCAGAACCAGCGTTCTGCTCTCCATCCGCTCCCAATAACCAAGGGGTTTTCTACCCAGGTATCACTGTTCATCAAGCAAAAAAATCGCACTAGCACATTTGGAGAGGGTACAATACGATACAGCCGTGTAACCGTTTACGAAGTTCATGTCGAGGGCGGAACCACGCTGACTCGTATTGCAGATGTCGCCAGTTTTCTCGTTTCCATAGTCACAAGCGGTATAACTAAAGTTCCTCACAAACAAATATATTCCCTCGCATTGTGAAGGGCAGAGTTGGAAAAGTTGGTGCAGGAAGAACTTCAAAATGTCAAGATGGGCAAGTCGGGCAGGCCGCCAAAGGGTACAAGTCCTGTTTGTTTGCCTCTTTCATCAATCAACACTCCCACGTAGTGTAGAGGTTTAGCATTTGGGATTTTCATCAACTGCTGGCTTCCCAGGACGTGGGTTCGAACCCCGGCGTGGGAATCCTTTTACTAGTTGGGCCGTCGGGGCAAGTTTTCTGACGTGTTTGAGATGAAATGAAACCGTGCAGAATCTCGGCTTGATTGGGGCTACGATAAAGAAAGGGGAGGCGCGGCTGAGGGTGATCTTGCTTGAATCGGGCAAAAATGACCCCCGGTTCCCATCCAGGGTCACATCGGTGTGGGGCGCAGCAAGTGCTTGCAGGTTGGACCTTCCCCGAGACAGACGCACTTGCCAACTCTGATGATTCAGGTGAAGACATTTTTTCTTCAACAACCATCTCGATATTGCATGCCAGACTCGCTTCGCAATTCATGTGCACGCACGATGGGATCTTGCTTCAGTCAACCGGAAAAAGACGCAGGGAGTGGTACCAGCGCGCAACAGCCGCCAAGCGCGTCGCAGCCTGATGCGTCATCCCACGCAAATGCCTCGACGCAAACCGAGGTCCAAAACCGTGGACCGCCGCCTGAATATGCCTCAAGACCCCAACAGTCCACATCGTCCCTCCGCCTCACCTTCTGTCGTTACCAATCAGGCGCCTTGATCCGAGAAGAGCGCCCGCTCTCGCACGACTTCATTGCCATCTCGCACGTCTGGGGCGACGCCAGCTGGCGGCATGTCGACGGCATCGAGGATCAGATTCTCGTCTCAGATGATAAGGCATTGTTTATAGCCAAGAGCCTGCCTGTCATTGTCGGGCAGTCCTGGTTCTGGATGGACATACTTTGCATCGATCAGCGTGACGAAGACGCCAGAGTCGCCGTCACTGCGCACATCCCTTCTATCTTTCGAGCAGCCAACAAGACAGTTGCGATACAGGAAAGCACTGGCTTCCGTGGCTGCTGCATCAAAGCGGCTGGGCCTCCGCGGGAGTTCCATGGGAAGACCAGATACGGCAGAGTTCCAAACGATCAGGATGAGAACATTGACTTCACTGAGGGGATGGACGGCCGCCAAAAGTTGAACCGCCACCTTGAACAGGAACACAAGGACGACTGCATCGATGATGGGATACTTTCCAGACTATGGCCGCTGCAGGAGATCATGCTGTCGAATCGGATACGGTTTGTGCGGTGCGAAGCGGCCGCCCCTGGCTCGCAGCCGAAGTCCATGAATATGAACGGGCGGAAACGAACTGGGCAAGCAGTCGGATTGGTTTCGAGTCTCGGCTCCCTGGCTTCTGCGTGGTCCACGTATATGATGAAAGGAGATTACCACATGATCTACAGACTGGGTACAGACCGATGGAACTTCATCCAGGCATACTTTGAGCTCGGAGAAGTCGTGCGTTCGGTCAGGGATGTGGCTGAAGTGCCGGAGGTTCCCAGAGCCCGGGATCTACACATCCATCTGACCAGCACCCGTCACACCACCAAGTCCATCGACTTTATCCTTGCTGTTATGCCGCAGTACTCTTTCTACAAACTCCCTCACAACGCCAAGCGGATGAGCTTCTCCGACCTCTTTCTCGACTGCTGCCGCCAACTCCGCGACAAAGACACAGCCATCGCCTCCCTCTTCGCCGTGTCACGCAACGCTCTGGATGGCGACGTCAACCGACGAAACGTTGTTATCCCTGAACCCGTCACTCTGGGCGACTTTACCAAACTCTTCATGGGTCCAGTTCACCGCGCTGCCCGAGGCAGTCAGGTAGAGCTTCTTACCTTGGACCGGCCACCACATACCACCGAAAACGTCAAAAGAGCAGCTCGCGCCTCATTGGCAGTCAACACACCCTACCCGCAGCCACTTGAAATAGAGTCGGCATACCTCGTCTTCATGATGCACATTATCGTCATCTCTATCATGGCCTCCAAGATATTGTGGCTAACGGCGACCAACGAATTACTGCACGAACTCGTCACTCTCCCCGAAAACAGCGACCGCCGCCGCGTGATCAGGGGATTCCTCGCCATTCTGAGAAACATCGACTGGGAGAAGAGCTCGACCGAGAACGCAGACCGCATAGCTTACATTCCTTCGGTAAAATCGGAGCTATTGGGTGTCCCCTGCGAGAAGCTGGGGCTCATGATGGCCATGATGAGCTGCGGTGTGCCGCTGAGCGCATTTGACTGGGCGGAGAAAAATCTCGAGGTTCTTTACGTTCTGGTGGCAGGGAAGTCATTCTGTGCGCTTGCTCCAAAGGCTGTCGTCAAGCCCGATACTACGTTTTTAATGCGGCAGGTTGGAGAGTTTCCCATGGGAAGGGATGGTCCGACACCGCGGTTGGGACTCTTGGCTATGCACGAACGAGACGAGGATGAGAATTTACTCACCACTTGTCTGTTCCCTCCGGACGTCCCGATGGTTGGCTGACGCGAAGGCTGTTGCGTGGCGGGACAAAATGCTTCGACATGGTTGTGGGACATCTGCGAAAAGGGAGCTCAACTGGTGATGCAGTTGCAGCATTGATGGCCTCCGTTGGGGTGGAAATTGCAGTGACTTGCAATTTTGGCCGCGGAGCCTACGACGCGACAGGCGCGGGCGTTAGTGAGTGACTTTGCCCACTCCTGGGTCGCTTCTGCTGCGTCCTGCGTATCACACTAACAATTTTAGGTTGCAGGGGAAGCGACCGACTTTGGCTAGGTTCCAACGACAGTTCGAAGAAGCATTGTGTTAGTGAGTGACATAGCATAGGGCCGGGGCCCCAGCCACTCGTGGTCATCCGTGTGCCTCGCTAACCACAATTTCAGGTTGCAGCTGGAACCAAACAACAGCCCTTCTGCCGTTTCCTTCTGCTGGTATGCATGTCTTGTCTACTTCGCACTCACAACAAACGAGCAAATCACCACCTCTCGCTCGCGCACTGCTGCGATACCCTAGGGTGCTATGGCATACATCAAACTCGGCCGGTTGGAGCCTGAGCCTTGTCAAGGTTCTTTATGCGGTTTTAAACCCCCGACACTCGATCTGAGCGCACACTGTGTGTCGGGAGCCAGGTTCGCTGTTGAGATGCTGACTTGTTACGGCAGCCCCCAGGCCACGGACGTGTGGACGGGGAACGGAATTTACAGCCAGGCACCGTTCCCCTGCGACTCGTTGATCGATACACTCAAAGAGGCTTCTCCGGACCCTTTCAAGAATGCTTCAAACACCGACATCACCAGCCGGGTCCGAAGCCTTGGAGGTTTCCAGACTCCGCATGGGATCTTTCACTCACGGCGTCCCATTGCCGAGCCGAATTCTGTTCCATGTACCCGTGGGAGGGGAGCCAGACATGGCTGGCATCGGGGTTCGTCCTCTTGGTCACTACAGGGCTGGCACTTTTTGCTAACTGGTATGCAAGATGGTCATGGCATATGCAATCCAAGTCATTCTTGCAACCGCTTTCCTTCTCGCACCCGCCATTTACTACGGTCGTCATCCGAAACAGTATGGGCAGCCCATGAACCCGAGGGTGGCTGTTTCCAACCATCTATGTACAGCGCTGCAGACCAGTTTGTGTCTCTTCTGGGACTCGTCGCTGCTGTTTTCCTTCACACAATACGCACGGCTGCGATGGTTGTGATACGCACCGACGGCTCCATGTATCAGTGGTGGTTGGCTCGGCGATCATCAGGAATAACCGCCTCCACCACGCTGGCGACCTGGCCCCTGTACGCGCCGATGTGCAGATTCCAACGGTCGCGAATATTTGGTTTCTGGATGGTATCCGTCATGCACCTTGCAGTTGGACTGGAGACATCGGATACCGTGACGCCAGTCAGACAGCTGTTCACTGACGAGGCCCTCTACGACGTATGGAGAGGCTTTGAAAGCTATTGCCTGTATCGATCAAGCAAGGTGCTCACGGATGGTTGGGATAATGCTTTGCTATCGACCGCCACCGTTGCAGGCCTCGCTGTGCTGGTTATTGCGGGTCAGGCTACAGTAGCGCTCAAGAGATGGAAGAAGAGATTCCTCGTAGCTTCGTGCTTGACGTGGATCAGTGTCGCGTGGTTTCAATTGGCCAGCGTGATTATCCTCCGATCGGATGTTGGGTCACTAGCAAGTCCCACACTTGTAGAGGGGGACTGGTCATTTGGTCAAATCCTGTCGCTGGCGACGACCATGATTGACTTTGTCGTCGTTTGGGGGTGTAAGCCAATCCCAGCTCACCAACTGAACGTGCGCGCTGACATGGACGCAGATCAGGTCAAAGGACTTGAGTACAGGCTCCCCTTGGGCATCGGCATTCAGCGGTTCCGGGGGGTTCGTGGTCGCGTGGGGGAGGGGTTTCTTTCACGGCAGGCAACAGCAACAATGGATAAGTTGAGGCCGCCATCGCTTTTCGATGTCCAAGGGGTTAGCCTGCGGTCTCCGGCAGTCACACTCAACCGTTTTTGGGAGAAGGAGAAATAGACGCCATGAAACTTCAGATAGATGCAACGAAAGTTCAGACCATGCAGGTGCATCTTCCACCACATCATCGCCAACAACCAGCCAGTGATTGAAGGATGCTCCACAGAATCCTTCGGGCTCGGAAGTCCCACCGTCATCCCAACGCAACCTGTCATCACGCGTTGGTGTCGAGGCGCAGTGCATCAACCCCTGAGACAATCCTTGGCGACAACACCTCCCCCGCCCAAACCAAACCGAACTCAGCAAAAGATGAGGCTCAAGGGATGCAGCATTCAATAAAACCAACAGAACCCTGCATGCATCGCAACCATGGGTCCAATAATGCAACCCCGCCAGCAGCAAAAGAACCCTGAGCCGCTTGGGTCACCCCCCGGGACAGATTTCAAGCACGACGAGTGAGTCCCTTGACCGTCATCAAGCCACCAGCAACAAAACGCCCAACAGTCGACGACATCCAGATGCCGCAATCCTCATGTCATCATCATTGAAACACAAGAATGGTGTGCTACTACAGCCTCTACGGCGAAGAAAAATACAGTATCCAAGACGACATCACGGGCATCTGCAACCTGACGCTCTACGACATTGACTTTACGCGCGACTGCGACAAAGCCTCCCGCTTTCTAGTCGAAGTGATTCGCCAACCGAGTTTCGAATGG